GGATGGCTTTTAGCAGTTCCCCTATTTTGGGAAATTATCAAATGATGACTCGTAATAGTGATGTAACAGCCGCTGGTAAAGGGACATAGTCATAACGATATCATCGAGACGGAGGTGGCGGCGGGAGGGGGGGGGGCGGGAGCATCGCAAGCCCTCTGCCAAACAGATAGACACGTCTACCCAAGTCGCAGCCTGCATTTGACTTCATCGCGTTGACTATGCTCATTGGCTGGAATTTGCCGACGCCTTGGGTTCTCACGGTTGACAGGAACGGGTCGAGGGACCCAAGGGAATGTGAGGTGACATGGTGCAAAGTCCTGCATCGAAGTGTACACCTCCAAAAATCATGCACAAATTTGGAGGCACTCTCACACAGAGCCCAAGGAGGCGCTACGCTCAAGCATGCAAGAAAGTGGCAATTTGATCAGAATATCTTGCCAGCCTCAAGCCCTCTTACGTTGCCAGCTGTTTAGTGTGATTATAAAGGGCCTTATAGCTGATCAATCAAAACCTCGGGCAAACAAGCAAACTGCATCTGGCTGGCTACTCAACTATGGATCATGGGAGCCGCTGTCTTAACTCCTAACTCCTATAATAGTCCACGATAAGATCCGTATATAACCCCCGTTGCATTTGGGGGTTTCCCAAAATGAGGGATACCTTATGGGGCGTCCCTAGAATAAAGAATATAGTATTTGGGGGTCTATATTGGGGCCCCCCTCTTTAGGGAAGCTACCATGTATATCCATGTACTACAGGGCCAGAAGCACTATCAGGAAGAGAGGTTTTGTCCAGGGCGAGGTGGCTTCTTCCTCCAGCTCCTCTCTGAAAAGCTCAGGGTGCCACCCTCAGGACGCTCTTCCATAGGCCTCCATCAGCATTGCATCCCCAAAAAATCTCCGGTGATGCTTCTACAGGGCTTTGGGAGGCACTTTGCAGGCATGGATTAAAGTAAAACGATCTAGAGCAGGGATCTGATTTTGAGCCTCCACCACCGACTGCGTGAACGCTACGACCCCGGTGGCATCCAAAAGGATTACACAACGACAGGGCCATCCACGCAGGGAGTGGTTGGATCACCGTCTGCTGATGATGATGTTGATGATGATGGTTATGGTGCTGATGATGATGATCCTGCTGCTGCTGCTGCTGCTGGTGATGATGGGTCTGTGTTGGTAGCGACCTCCTCCCAACTACCCACTGCGATGTCTCTGGGGCTTCTCGGGGCTATGAGACTACACAACAAAATGCCAAGCATGCGTTCGAAGTAGGCTAAGCATTGCACTCTCCGCAAAGTTCTCGCTGCCCATCTGCTCGGAAAAGTTGCGCAGTTGGAAACAGGCCCTCGATCTAGCTTCAGGTTTGATCCATATCATGACTTCGAAAAGGGTTGCCTAGCCTTTGTAGCCTTCCACAACGCCAAGTCCAAGCCCCTTTGGAGCCCATTAGAAAAGCAGGTATGCTCAGAATCAACTTGCAAAGCGGCTTATAAGGAATGCTCAGAAGCGCTCCAGCTCCCCTGAAAATAAATGGTGCCTGCCATATGGGGCACTAGCACTCCACGACTTGCCTGTGAGGATGCCGAGGTTCAGTCAAACGAGATTTCCACTGAGACTTGTGGGTTGAGGGACTACGATAACGTGATAAGGGGCTTTCAGGGGTCTGAGCGGTTGTTGATGGGCAATCACACCCGGGAAAAACGCAATGGCTCACCCGGGGCTAGCCGGCCATTACGTCTCAAGAGCTGGTTATAACAGCCAAACTTAAAGACCTTCATACTCTGAGGTGCTCCTTGTCCTCAATTCTCAACACGTAGTTTGCTGTTCATGCATGCCAACTAAACAAAGAAAGAAAGGCGGCTCAAGCCTTTCTGACAGCTGTTGGGGTTTATACGTGTTGGGAAGGCTTCGTTTCTTAGGATTCTTCAAGTTTTAAGCTTTGGGGCTCTGCATAACATGTGCAGGCGTGGATGAACAGGCGGAGGCCCGGATTTTTCAGAACGCAATGGGGCTACGAATGTGGTGGCACTGGCACACCAAGAAATCATCTCTCATCCGAAGCACGAAAACTTGAAGCGTCCTGCTACATGCGCGTCACAGATGCCCCGGCCCAGAGTTGAAAATCTTTCAGGAGGTCACCCTCGTCCCTCGATCCTGCATAACCTCCAAGGATAGCTAGCGTGGCACCGCCACACAAACAAACCAAAAACAACAGTTTCGGCTAGAAGCGCCGTTGCTAAAAGCCAGTCCTCCGCCTTACTGTCGCACGGCAAGAAAAGGCAGCATTCCGACACTGAAAGACGTGGCACACCTACCGCTATAGTCCCCAAGGTGGTAGGATGCTTCACGCACAAGTACCCTCAAAAAAACACATGCTCGCGCACCCTTCAAGCTTCTGGTGGCGCTAAATGACCCACAGATTTAACTTGCAGTCTGAGTCTAAGTTTGCACGTGTTTGCAATCTTTTTCCATTAGCATCCGAACGTGTTAGATTGGCGCGTACCGCTGAACTACTGAAAAGCACCCTTAGTTGACAATGATGGCAACCAGATGTTCTTCAAATGCTCCCTCTACTCCTCTACAATCCTTCAAGGGGACCTACATGTCTCAAAGGCTAGCCTCCCGGGCTGAAAGAGCTTGAACCTTAAAGGCTTCGCCGTCCGAGCCACCCATGTCATCGAAGGACACGAAAGAGCTGTTTGACGGCATCGCCACACTGGCACTGGCCTCTTCCTGGCAGACACTATCATAGGAAACCTAGCTGCGGGCGAGCAAAGAGAAACAAGAATGATGCAAGTACAAGCACGATCGGGTGTTTAGGGAATGACCGAGATGCGGGTAAAAGTGGTGGTCCTCGGACCTAGGACCTGGGCGTTTCTCCATTGCTGTTCTTGCATATGTGCAGCAATGTGAACCTCATGCTTGGGGCCTGGGAAGCAGCTGCAGAAGCCGCCAAGCTGGGCTTCTCACAAGTAGGGGCCATGCTCGGATTCCTCTTAGCAGCTCACAC